AAATGAATATTTTATTAATTAAAATAAGTTATACCTCATGTTTTAAGTTTCATTTCCTTCTATTTTTTTGTTATATATCCTATAATTTTTGTCTTAGACATTATTTAGTACAAAAAAATTTGTGTGACTCACACTTATTATTTCTCTTAATTTTTAGTATCAATATCATTCCTAAAATTTTTCATTTCTTAGTTTGTGTCCCTAACTCATGTCAAAATAATGCTAAGACGAAGTGAGAAATATTTTTTATTAATGTTTTTAGAGGAATAATTCAATATTTATCGATCAAACAAAAATAATATTAAATTTCACTTTATACACTAAAATAATTACAACTTAAGATGTGGCTCATGAAATGACTCGGGAATTAGCAATATTCATTTATTATCAGAAATGGTCAATGTGATACAAGTTAATTACTTTATTTTGATTAAGTAAAAGAATCATTTTAATATGACAATAAAAACAATTAACAAGAAAAAACTCAATCAAAAGTATATAAAAATGCAAAAATGAATAAAAATAATGATCTTTGTGCGTGTTTGAGAAATCTTATATAATGAATCTAGATAAAAAGTGGTATTAGAATTATATATTCATTTTTAGTGGTATTGACTCGATTATAATGTTGTATATGTTCTTATTTTTCTCAATCTAATGAAAGAAAAATAAATATTACCTCCGCATCCACTAAGACGTACAATGTGAATGAGTTTCACCTTAAACTTGGGACAATGACTTTCCTACCATCCATGAATTTTGGTTGAGTAATTTATATTTTTCTATTCAATCGGTATCAAAACTCTACTATATATAGAGCTTCAATCTCTATGGTTTGAGACGGGGTATAATGGAAAGAGGGGTTTCTTTGCTTTGTTCATGAAATCATAGAACTCTAAGAGTGAGTAAGAAAATATACATTCGTCCAAAGCAAATAAAATCATTCTCCTTTTTGAGTTGAAAACATTTGTCCTCAAAACATATTTTTTACCATTTATATAACCAAACATAGGAAATTAAATTAAAATTTCTTAAAATGTATTTTTCTTTTAACCAAACATATCTTATGAGTTTCATTTTCTTGATGAAAAAAATACAGAACAAAAAGAAAAATCGTTCAGTCCCGTGCGTGGCACGGGTTAAAATGCTAGTACAATTTAATTTAACACAAAAAGACTAGGAGAGAAGGAGTAGCACACTTTCCTTTTTTTTTTTAACATTTCCCCCCAAATTTGTCAAAAGAAGAAAACTAAGGGTAACTTTTTGTTATTGTTTGATCCCAATTGGAAGTCTTGTCGGGCCATTCTAAGGTGTTTTCTTGTTCTTTTCCATTTTATATCCCTTACATCCCTAATTTGATTACAAATTAAAAATTACGAGATAAAATATCTCGTGTTTTGAATTTTTTTAATTATAATTTGGTATATCAATAAGAAATAAAAATTACTACCTCCGTCCCACTATATTCGTCCACTTTTGACTTTTGGAACTGTTCATCTAAGCACTTTGACTCATCAAATTCTCTCAATGTGTAAGCCTAAATATAGTCATGTGTAATTTTATTTGATTTGTCTTAACATATAGATTATTAATATATAATTTCTATAATTTTTTAATATACAAATTACAATATAAAATGGATTAAAAAAATGCATTTGATGGTGTGTAAAAATGAAAGTGGACAAATACTCTGGGACGGAGGGGGTATATATTTAAAAAAATATATCAAAAGTTCTACATGACAAGAAATGATATGAATATTTTATTTTATAAAAACGCATGACAATGAAAAAATAGAAATAAACAATAGTTATCGATGAGAGAGAAAAAATTGTTATATATATCGGAACGGAGGGAGTATTTTATTCTGTATTCCATCCGTGATAAATTAATAGTCTTATTTTCTTTTTCAAATAATTTCAAAAAAAGTGTCTCAATTCATATAAGACTAATTAATTTTTTTGGGGTACTTTCATAGTTTTTTACTCATGTTTAAGTATCCTTGTCCTAAATTGTAATAAGATGATGAATTCGAGTGTAAGTACTTCCTTTGTCTCAGAATACTTGTCCAATTTTGAATATTTATAGTCAATGCGGAAAAAACTTTGACTTATGATTAAATAAAAATTACATACATATTAAATTAGGCATAGAAATATTTTGAAAATATTTTTCCAAGATAAACCTGATAAAATATTCTTGTATCAATATTTAATATAATTTTTTTAAATAAATGGCCAAAACTTATCAATTTTGACTAACAGAATTACGAAATACTCAGGAGCGGAAGTAATTCTATACATGTGCTAAACGTATATCTCTTTTTTAAAATGATAAAAAGGTTAAAATTAAAATAAAAAAAGAACTGCTAGGACCAAACCAGATATGGATATAAAATGAATTATTAATTGAACGGTGGACGTGTATATCTTGTCCGGACGGTCAAGATGTTCCCATGTGAGAGATTGAGATTTCAAATCATAATAGAACCCACATTTCTAAAAAGAAAATGAGACAAGATATAAGTTTTGATACCTTCAAAATCAAAATACTTTTTTGGTGTTTGGTGAAATCAAGATATCTTCAAATATCATAAATTTTCTAAATGGAGATATGCTATATAAAAATCAATTATATGGAGTATATGGAGAAGGTTGGTGTACCTAGGGGTTATTTAGTTGAAAGAGGATGGAAAATTTCTCTATACCCCAAATTTAGGCTACTCCTCCCACTAAGAGGAGTGGAAATGGGTTTCACGCCCAACCACGTTAAAGTAGTTTTCACGCGTGGAGGGCATTAAACACTGCCTCCTCCCTCCGTTATGGTGCGTTATAATTCATGCGTCAAAACTTTGACGCAATTTGAAGCGTTAAAACACCTTCTCTCTTCCTTTTCTCTCTTTTTTCTTCTTTTATTCTCTATAAATTAAATTAATTTTTTTAAATTCAATAAAAATACAAATCTCTCTTTATCTATCATCTTTTTAAAAAAATTATTATTCAAGTATTTTATTTATTTTTTCATTAATGTAATTTTTTTATTTAATAAATGTGATTTTTCATAATAAATTTAATTTTTTTATTTAATGAATGTAATTTTTCATAATGAATGTAATTTGTTTATTTAATGAATGTAATTTTTTATAATCAATGTAATTATTTTATTTAATGAATGTAATTTTTTAATGAATGTATTTTTTTAATGAACTATTCCCATTTCAATTCTTTTAAATAATTAAATATTTAAATGTTACTCCGTATTAAATCAATTTTAGAAGATGTGTATTTAAAATGTAAAAAAATTAAGGCTTGAAGCCCGGTTTGAAGCCCCGGGGCTTCAAACCCATTTCCACTGAAACTGTGATGTAAGTTAAAGCTGACGTGACAGAGAGAGAAAGTTTGAAGCTCCGATTTGAAGCCCTGGGGCTTCACGAGTATTTCTAGTGCCCTAACCATCCACCCTCTCGTCAATTTAGGGAAGCGGTGGGAAGGGAAAAAGATAGTCAATTTGTTTAATAATTTTATTTTTACTTTGTCCTTAATTATAAAAAGAATATGCAGTACAATTTTTTTCCTTTCTTTAAACTATTTTAATTATAAATGGACATAATAATAAAAAATATAAATTACATCATTCAAAGGTACATAACAAATTCTATAAAATAAAAAGTAAAAATATTTTATTTTATTAAATGGTTAATAAATATTCAAATACTCAAATATCAGACATGGACATTTATTTTGAGAGAGAGAGACAAATTATCATTCCTGTATTTCAAAACCGGAGTAGTTGCTTACCATCCATATTTTAGCGTCCGTTTGGATAAAAAAATGGAAAGAAAAAAAATAAGTGGTGAGAAAACAAATGTTACACCATCCCCCCTAGACTTGAAGGGTGTTCATCCAATGAAAAATTCGAAGTACATTGAATATTTATGAATAAAATAATTTTTTGAAAACAAATTACTCTCTCCGTCCCATTTTATAACGACTGTTTCGGTTTACGATGTTTGATTGAAGTTATTTTCAAATCATTTTATATGACAAATGGTATAGAGTTAAAAAATAAAAATTACATATCAAAATACTACATCAAAAGATCTACAAAACTAGTAGTGACAACAATATTTTATTTTATCAAATTGCTAATGAAAATAGAGAAAGAAAGTGAATGAAGTTTGACCATGTGAATAGTAAACAGACATTATAATTTGGGACGGAGGGAGTATAAGATAAATATAATTAAATAATTTCTGTACTAATATGCAATATAATTTCTAGTAAATTAGCAATTTAATTTCTTCTAATTTGATTATTAAAGTCAAACGGGTAAAACACACTAGAGTTAAAAATACATTATTAAAATGTATTTTGAAGAAAAGTATTTTACTCCATCCGACTCAGTTTAAAGTGTTTGTTTTGATTTACGATGTTTAACTAAAATTATTTTCAATTCAATATATATATGAGAACTGGGGTGAAAATAAAAAATAAAATGTATTTTTTTTTAATAAAAGTACATGAAAATTTCTACAAGAGGTGTCATGACTATTTTATTTTATCGCATGAATAACAAAAAAAATAAAATAAAATTTGACGATATAAATAAAAAGCAAACACTTTAATTTGAAAGGGAGAGAGTAAGCAATTTTTTAAAAAAATTAAAATAGAGAATATTTTGAAATAGATTTGAAAAAATTAGTCTAAACTTTAATGGAGACCAGAAGACTTCAAAATCAACATGGCCTCTATACAAGATTCCCAACCTTTGAAACTTGCCTTCCAATTTAGTTATCAACTTTTTTGTTTTTATTTATCCAAAATTAATTATAAACACAATAACAATTTATCTAAACTGTGTTTATTTAATAAAATGTTTTCAAAATATAATTTTATCTAATTAATAGACTATATTTTATTTAACGTTTGATCAAAAGTTAAAAATGATTGACTACAAAAAATCAAAAGTGGAGAAATATTGAGTGATGGAGGTGGTATTTGACATTTCAACCTCATTTCTTAAAAATGAGATTTTTAAAAGTGTACAACTAAACCGGAATGACGGGAATACGAGACCAAACGTTTTTCTACTCTGTACGATAAAAGTATAAAACCGTAATTATACAAAGTTTCCCACAACCACTTTTCAATGTACACTAATACTATATCAACTAACCAAAAACTAATTGTGCACTAAATAAAACTTAAGTGCCTTTAACCACAAAAATGAACACAAACAATTTATAGACCTTTCTCAGATTCTTTGAAGTTGTCAAACTCGAATCCTTGTTCAAGTTTTAGCTCTCCTTGCATGGGACTTTGACAATTCTCACTTCCTTCACATTGTTCTTCTCAAACAAACTACAAACCCAGTAAAACCACACAAAAATAGAGTCAAAGAGGGATGCGTTTACGCATGCCTTATCCATTCTCGAAAATAGAGAAATTGTTTCCAGAAGACTCTGAGGTCAAACATCGAAGCAGAGACAAAGTAAATAATACTCGGGTAAACCACAAAAGAAAGTAAGAAAAAGATGCATACTAAGGTAAAACACACCTTGTTCTAAACCAGCTTCAATAATAGATTAGCCTGCAAAAAGGAAGAAAAAATGACACTTACAAGATAATATCATAGGCTGATTCCCCATACCCAACTTCTGATAATTGGTTGTTCAGTTGTTCTTAACAAAGAAGGAACATTATGCACATTAATCGAAGGCCTATTAAACTGAAGGCCAAAAATTCCACGAGTTCCTATATTATACATCCGGATGTATCATGTCTACTGTATATCCGACACACACGTACACACACGACGAGTTTACAAGTTACAAAATATGGAATGCTCATTTTTCAAAAAATTTTCTTTTCCATACTTGGAACATTTGGATTATGAAATTGATGAATGCAAATTTAATAGTTGCACCATTGCTCATTTTGTTGCTCAAGAGCTTTTCATTTTGTGGTTAATAACACTTTCTATCCGCAAAGGGATACACATAAATTGAACAAAAAATGCATATAGCTCCAGAGCGTATACGGGGACGGTGTTGGAAACACCAAATTTTCAAACTTTATAAAGGATTTGGGTTTTGGGGCGCCCCCAAGTACCCAAGCGGGGAGGTTTTAAGGACAGGAAGCGGCACTTATTTGAAGAATATGGCAAGATAGCTCAAGAGCTTGCACATTATAAAGTTATTTGATGCACATTTACAAGTTACGTAGTACTCGATGATGCACAAGAAAGTAGTTACATACGGGTGTAGTTTTTGGCATTGGAAATGAGATTACCTGGATTGGATTCGATGTGAAAGAGCCCAATCTGTGTCCCACGAGAGGGAGGCAGAGACGCCGGAAAGAAAGAGTGAGTGCGGGTCCCACAACAATGAGGGAGGCCGAGAGTGCGGAATGCGAAAGGAGCAATGAGTCTTTAACACTAGCAGTCCACTTTCTATGGAATCATGCTCCCCCATCCTTTAGAGCACTTCTCTTGCAAGAATACAAATCAAGAATCACCAAAAGTCCCCGCAAGTACAAAGCCCCCCTTCAAAGTGATGGAAACGAACACGGTCCCTCACAACTATTACTCTGTTCAACACCTTCGAGACAACCTTCATCCACGAATGGCAATCCAAACAAGTTCGAAGATTTTTCGTGACCCGAATAACATCCTTTGGGCCTCGCGACCTCATGATCCCATAAACAAGTGCTAATTTCTCGCTGTGCAAAGCCAAATTCTCTTCCTTTTCCTCCTCTGATATGTCCATCAATACCAACTCGGTCTCGTGATGAAACCCCTCCATTTTAGTCAATGTGACCAACACTTTCAACGATTTGTGTATAACGTTCATTTCTGGGTGGGACCGGTCCCCCGCGTTGAACACGTGAACAGTGTTTCCCATTTCCACCCAACTTCTTCCTCGCGTCTTACGCACGCCGTTTTGCTTCATTGCTTCTCTCAACTCCTCTGCACTGTCCCATTTCTTGACCGAGCAATAAATGTTTGACATCAACACGTAATCTCCACTGGTGAGGTGAGATATCTCAGTTGCTGCAACTTCTCCGAGCTCGGGGTTCTTGTGGGTCCTACAACTGCTTAGGAATGTCCTCCATATGACGACATCGGGTTCCATTGGCATTTCCTTAATCATTGAGTAAGCTTCTTCAAGAAGTCCAGCTCTCCCAAGAAGATCCACCATGGCTCCGTAATGCTCAAGTTGGGGGCGAACAAGGAAATGCCCTTTTTTCATCAAATCGAAATGTCTTTTCCCCTCTTCGACCAAACCACAGTGACTAAAAGCAGTTAGGAGCGCAACGAATGTTATGGAATCAGGCAAAATGGCTTTGGCCTCCATTTGCTCAAAAACCTTAATGGCTTCCGAAGCAAGACCGTGGGTTCTAAGCCCATTGATCATTGCATTCCAAACACAAACATTATTACGTTCCACGCTGGAAAAAACCTCTCTTGCAGCCTTAATGTTCCCACATTTTGAGTACATGTCTATGAGTGCAGTTGATAGGATGTAATTGAGTTGAATGTTTCTCTCAATCATCAAATTATGCACATGCTTTGCGCGATTGAGATCCCCGAGTTTCGCACAAGCTGTCATTACAGAGGCAAAGGTGTATCCGTCCGGTTGCATTTCAGATACAAGCATCTTCCTGAAGGTACTCAATGCCTCATTATGTAATCTATTCTTTACAAAACCTCCAATCATCGAATTCCACGTGATCAAATCCCGGGATGGCATTTTAGTAAATATTTCCTTTGCGATATCGACTTCTTTCATCTTCATGAAGCTCACGATCATCAAATTTCCAGAAAGGACATCAAAATCCCATTCTGAAACTACACTTGGCAGTTGATGTGCGGGGTGGGGGCAATTACAGGATAAGTATGCCATTATCAACAAGCGCAGAAGGGATGGATTCTTTGCATATCCAGATTTGATCATTTTGCAATGTGTTGTAGTTGTGATCCATGATTTGGGGTTATGTTTGCATGCTTCCAGAGTGCATATAAGCATTTGGTAGTCTGAAATGTTTTTCACAAGCATGAAGATGATAAGAAGAAACAAAACATAGTTATCTGTTTTTAATCAAAATTTTGAAAAGTATATAATCCCTCCGTACCATATTAGTTTTCCCACTTTAGCAGAATATACCAGTAGTCGAAGCTCAAGCAAGGCGTGGATATTATTCATACAATTTGAAGGCAAGAAATACACAGCAATTCAATGAAACAACAACAAATCTTAGATTTACAAAGATGGTAAAGTTACCAGCATTAGAATAATGAGTTTCTTGTGAGGAAAGACTTGAATGTGAGGCTTGAGAGCTGAAAGTAGCAAAATGGGTAAAACGCAACGAAGAAGTTACTCTCCCTCTGTGATTTGCAGTGATTCTAACCGCCACCATCATCTTCCTCCTGCCAACTTCCAAGCATATATGCTTTTATACTCAGAAGAATGTCTATTAAGCAGATTGACGAACAGTTTAATTACACAAGCTCATTTTACTTGAATCCTTCCACTTATCCCGCTTAACGTATATCTGGTGCTCGCTCATTTGGTGACATCCAACAACAAACCCAGTAAAGTCCTACAAAAAATAGGATTAGGTGTGTGTATGCAGAACTTACTCATACTAGGAGACCTTACCCTTACCACGTAGTAGAGAGCCGGCTCAAATATAGCGGTAGAGGCAAAGAGCCACTGTAGCATGAACGAAGTACGACAAACACAAAAAAAGCATACAAACCAACATAAGAACACACAAAGCACAGAAAACACACAAGTACAAGCTGCACACTAGGCATTTCTACCATTTCGTGACATGCATTTATTAAATACGGAGTAATTAATTTAAGCTTTTCTATTCGTACACCACTTTCCAAACGAACTACTATGACAAGCTCACAGGAATATGCATATACAAGTTCTTTTTTTGTTCTCACTGAACAAAATTGATGTATAAAGTTGACTGGCATACCCAAAAAAAAAAAAAATCTTTGTTAGTTTATCACTTGATCTGCAAACTATCTTCACCAATTCATTATTACATATCATTCATCAACAGAAAATTCATCAAGAATTTTTAAAATGAGATTTAATAGTCTACTTTTAAGTATATTCACTGCTAAAAACTAAATATTATAAATATTTAAAAATTAAACCATCTTATTCACGCATTTATTTAATTACATATGTGATGCAGTTTGCTTTACCAATTCTTCCACCAAAACTGAGTCATGAAAAACTGTAGCTTTACTATGAACACTGGTAAGTGGTGCCCTAACCTTAGCCTAAACAATATAAAATGCTGGAAAAATGCAAAATTTTCATATCACAAGACTGCAATAGATCCTCCTAACAAGTTCCCGGCCGAATCAGTTTGATGTAGTGTTTCAGATTTGGAATTTCGACATCTAGAAACTATAAATGAAAACATCTAAACTAGTAATTGTGTGCGTCATATATGAATAATCCAAAAAGAGGGCACAATTTCTGTATGAAAATATAAAATGAAAACGAAAATGAGAAACCTGAGGTTTGTGTACATGGAAGAAGGCGAACTGGGGAAGGTTGAGAATTGTAGAACACTTTCGTGAACAAGTCAAAATTGACAGTAAAATTGACTATTCTTACAGTGTAATAATTTTGATAAATCTTCTTACTCTCTCACCCTTGCAACATTCAAATTTAGTAGATTTTGGAGTAAAAATTTTGACTATAGTGTCAATTAAATTTGGATGGTACAATTTAAAAAGGGTTAAAATCAGTTCATGTCGAGCCGAGTGGAGAAAGAGGAAGTTAGAGTGATTAAAACCATAGACATCGTGAATGCTCCAGTTAAAGCCAATATCATATTATGACATTGTACGTATGTGATCCTAATGTATATAAAAAACTTTTATTTTTTATTAGAAAAATTATTGCACCCTTACATATTTAGGAATTAAGATTCGTTTAGTGAACGAAAGGCATGAATTTTGATATTTTTTACATCACTCTTAGTTTTTTGGTGTTTAGTTAAAAAAAACTAAAATTTATATTTAATTTCTCAAGGTATCAACCCTTTTAAGTAGAGTGTTTTGATCTTCTAAATTTAGCAGATTTTAGTATCGAGAATCGATATCTTGTCAACAATCAACCTCCCTTATTGCCAAATATCATCGTCAGTGCTCGTTCGCTGGTGTCCATCCCCTGCCTATGACTAAAAATCATTATTTTAACTCATTCTTCACTAAGGAGTATATTTTATATTTTAAAACACATCAGATTCTAGAACTCATATCATATATTTTAAAACGCACCAAATTGATCCTAGTCGATTGTCAAATGGCATATCATTTTTTGTTTGAAATAAAATTAAATAATCATTTCAAATGAGTTTTTTTAAGAGTAATTTACCTAAATAAGACTAAAACATAATGACTTTCTCAATATAGGACCATATATTTTGATTTTCCAATGTAGGACCATTGGTCATTATCTATAAGTCATTATTCAATTAAATGTCCAGCATCACTTGGATATTATTCTTCTCACTAGTCATTATTAAGTCTTATTTAATGAATAAAAAAATTCAAGTCATACATTAGGAAATGACTTATATTTTAGTCATATTCAGTGCAAATTTCACTTTTTTAAAATTATTCCAGATCCTAATGAACCCCTTCATTGACATGTGATGTTATTTCATTAAATCATGGGCTTGTCTAATTTTTTCGAGTGAGCATCTATCTCTCCGATGTTATGAATTAAATATAGAAGCCCTTTTAAATAAAAACATCGTGCTTTGCTTAATTGGGCCTCCACATAGGAAGTGAGCCCAAACCCCAAGATACATGATCCAAATGTTTTCATGCCAATTGGCGTTATTTAAGATAGTGCACATTAAATACCAGCCTTAAATTAAAGTGATTTTTTTTGAATTGCTTGTCAATTTGCATTATTAGATAGTGTTATCACAACTCTAAAGTTAATCTTTGGTTTTCGATCTCTTAGTATTATTTTGCAACTTACAATAGACTCTATTTGTCCCACAATTGATTACAATGTTCACTATTTGAAAATTGCGATAAATTTTATTTATTCGTTTTATTGATTATTTGATAAAATAAAATATTTTTGTCGCATCTTGCTTTGTAAAACTTTTGATGTAGTTTTTAAATATATAACTTTTATTTTTTATTTGTGTCTCAATCTTTAAATAAAATGAATTGATTTTTTCGTAATCTGTAACTTATAATCGAAATAGGGACGGAGAGAATATGTATATGGTGAAAAATTTATGGTTTTTGTTTTATTGTCACTTGTAGATTTCACCCCATTCGAAAGAGGTTTACATCTCATGTAAAATTTGTACTCCCTCCGTTTCTTAAAACCCTTCCTCTTTCATTTTTTTTTGTTTTCCTTAAAACACTTCCTTTTTTCTACGAAGTATTAAAAAACCACTTTTACCCCTACTTTTTCATACCGTACCTATCACATCATACTTTTTCACTAATAACTAAACTATCACATCTTACTTTTACCCATTACATCAGGGGCAAAATTGGAAAGTCAACTAAAATTACACTTTCCTTATTTTGCCCAAAAGTCAAAACAAGAACCGTTTTAAGAAACGGAGGGAGTACTAAATAAGACTAAAACATAAGTCATTTCCCAATATAGGACTTAAATTTTTTTATTCACTGGATAGAACTTAATAATGTCTAGAGAGAGGAATAATGCTCAAAGATGGTAGACATTTACTTGATTAATGACTAACGGATAATTACTAATAGTCCTACATTGGGAAATAAAAACATACCGTCCTATATTGAGAAAGTCATTATGTTTTAGTCACATTTAGATAATTTCTCACATCTCATTGCAATATATGAAAACTTAATTAGGTACTAAATTGTCAACATAGATCACATGGTGTGTAAATAAATAGATACATATAGACACACGAATATCACAAAATGTTGATATATAGATGCTCTAAAAAAACACAAACGGTGTATAACATTAATTATGTTGTAGCTTATTTTGTTAATCTATAAAAAATAATAATGTACTCCCTCCATTTTTCAAAATAGTTCCTCGTTCTCTCGTTTTTTTGCTTGCAACAAAGCACTTCCACTTTGATAAAAAGATTATTATTAATATATTCAAATTAAGTTGTTGCAATATATTTCATTCATTTTGCATTGATATAATAAGTTATTTAAATGAGTTTTCTCTCTTTTTTCTTCGATATTTAAGACATAATTGAAAAGTTAAATTACAAAAATAAATTTGACAGAAGTCAAAATAAGAATTGTTTTACTTGGGTACCAATGTCTTTTAGACCATTTTTTTTGTCCGAGTAGTCCTTTTTTATTCATCAAATTAAATTTCGTTCTATAAATGGAGGAAGAATGGTGTGTGATTGGAAACACACATAAGAACCACAAAATAGAAAAAATTGACGAATTACATACATCTCAACAAATTGGTATATAATATGGAAGAAATCACAACAAAAATAGCTGCGGTGATGACCTTGATCATGTTCTTGCTGGTTTCAAATAATAATAATATTGCAGCTGATGCCAATAATAATACTCCAAAACCAGGTGATGACGGTGGTTCCGTCGTCCCCGTTGGCGGCAATGAACGGGCGGCGACCACCGTTACAGCCTCGGTTAAAAAGCCGCATGCGGCGGAATCCGGCGGCGGAAGCAGCAAGGTGTTGGGCAGGAGATCGCTGGAGACATGTAACCTCTCATGCTTCATTGCTTGCAGGTGTCAAGTTTGTTGTAGGGGTGAATGCACCCCGCCCGCCCGCCCCTAATTATAATTAACTCATTTAATTAAATATGATACGGAGTACTACGTACAAAGTACGTGATATATTTGCATGATATGCATGCATGCATGTATGGAGGGAGGGAGAAGTTTATTAATCACAAGCTGATGATCAATCACATGAATAAAGTAATTTATTTATTGAATAAAAGCTTCCTCCTTCTTTTTACTACGAAGCACTATTTTAGTTTACTTTTTTATTCATCTCATATGTGTTCCCTGTAAAATAATGTTTTAAGTAATAAACTTATTGCATTTGAAGTAGGACTAAGAACGTGTTCTATATAATTTATTCTTATTGATATCTGATCATGTTGCTAGCTTAAATCAAAAATATATTTAAATATAACTACAATTAGGTCAGACCAGAATTTCATTCATCTTGATATATATTACTATCATGTAATATAATAATAATCTTAATAATAAATTATTATTATTATTATTACTATTATCATTATTGTTAAATTATCCTCATCATCTTCATCATCGGAGGATACAATGGCATAAGTATATATCCATGGTCGGAATTGCTATGCATTGAAGGCTCTACCCTGAGTGAGATAGTTACGATCCACATAATGTATCATGTATTGCACGCTCTTCGGGCATAACAACCTAACATGGGTGATGTCGTGCACCATCATGTATACATGCAAAAATTTTGATATCTGACAAGTAAATAGTAATTACATTTTTAGTACTAGTAATTAATTAGAACACACATTCATGAACTCCTGTATAATTAGAACACAATTACATTATGTTTATACGTAGCTCATGTCATACCTCAAGTATACAATGATGATGGTCTATTGGTCTTCCCATCGCATGAACTCCGTATATTCTCATGTTGCATCCTCAGCTCTATCTCCTTCGCACGCTAATGGTAGGCAGCACAGATGTGTGTCACCCACTAACATAACTCTATGCATCTTGGGCCTAAGCGAGTGTACAGATTCTGTGGAACAAGAATGGTTAAGAAATATTGTGCACTAGTAAACAAACAAGGGGTGTAAAGACTCCACAAATCACAATAAATTAAATCAAATACGGCATTTGCATTATTGGTACTCAAAGGAAACACTGAGCGAGTTTGTTAGTAATAAAAATATCTCACATGAAATGTATTGATATTGATTGTCATATTGTACGAGAGTGCATGGAGTAACAGAATTTCTACCATACTCGTTATGTTTCGGCCCATCTTCAAGTCGCTAATCTGTTTATCTTGGCCTTGCCTAAGCTTACTTTTCAGTTCTTATTGTCTACGTTGGGCATTCATGATCTTCATGTGCCAACTTGAGAGGAGTGCTAGCGAGTATCATATCCGGTGTTGTGCTAATGGGCTTAGAATAGTTATTTTTGTTAATGGGTTTATTTAAGAGAAATTTACTTAAATAGGAATAAAACATAATGACTTTCCCAATATAGAACTATATGTTTTTATTTTCCAATGTAGGACCTTTAGTCATTATCAAGTAGTTATTATTCAAGTAAATGTCCATCATGGACATTATTCTTCCCTTTAGATCATTATTAAGTACTATTTACGGAATAAAAAAGTTTAAGTCTTATATTAATAAAGTCATTATGTTTTAGTCCTAT